CAAGATGAACATCATTAACATTCATGTTCCTCTTGCGGGGGGATATTAAATATATAAATTTGTATTTTTAGTTGTTAAAATTGTAATAGCACTTTTACATTCCTACAACACTTTTAGTTATATTAGCCTTAGTATAAATAGCATATTAGGGTTGAGACTATTTCACTTTTACCTTTTTCTTCTTCAGACGATCTGTATTCTCTCTCTCTCTAAACTCTCCTCTCTGTAATCTTTCACCTTGATTCAGTTCATCAATGGAGTTTTACTTTTAGTTTTTCATACATTTTATATCATAATAATAGGCTCTCTCGTCCGAACACCAATCCACGCCCCATGCACATCACATTCTTCTTTTCAAGTTCCTGCCTTTTTTTCCCGACACATTGGCATATTGTTCGTGCCTTTTGACATTTAATTACTATCAATACTCAATAGCCTCCTGAGGAGATCGACGCTCCGGGTTGGATCTCGAGATGAGTTGTATTGTTTCATTCGACTTTGTAAATGAAAAGTTCCTATCGGCTCGTGTGTAGAAAAGTATATATATGTACACGTACTCCTCATATATGTCAACCTTTTTTTTTTAATGTAAAAACTTCAACAAATTCTTAAATTTTCCAGAAAACCAACATTTTAGGACAAAGAAGAAAAACAGAGAAAAAATTCACCTCACAAAATGCACAACAGAACAAGATTTCTAATCCCATCATTTATTTTATTTAATTTTTTTCATTGAACTACTCCATCCCTATAGTTCTCCTCCTCCTTCATTGTCTAGTTCACCTTCACTTTCGTGTCCGGAAGCCACACCACAAACAAGCCGCACACCAATCGTCACCCCAAAGACCACAACTTCTCAACCAACAAATGCACCACTATATATATATAAAATCAAAACACGATCAGTATCCTCAAATCCCTCTCCATCCAAGTTCATATCCTCACATTAAATATTCCTCAAATCTCTCTCCATGGAGAAACACATTGGCGAAATCAGTTGGAAGCAAGTCCTCCAATTGGCTCTAATTTCTTTGGCGTGTTTCTTTGACGCGCAACATACCTTTATCACCATCTTCACTCACGCCCACCCAAGATAAAGGTATGTTGCGCGTCAAAGAAACACGCCAAAGAAATTAGAGACGCCCACCCAAGATGGAGCTGCAACTCCCAATCCCCCGGCTGCTGGAGAGTGCACACAGCGTAGTGTTCCGATGGGCCTTGCGTACCCGAAAACAAACATTTTTAGGACAGACAAGAAAAACAGAGAAAAAATCACTCTAGTGCAACTCTTTTTTTTTTTTTTTTTTTT